TTTAAGCCACCGGGTCCGGGACACGAACTGCGGTCGACTATGTGGGAGTCCAGCAACATAGCCATTATGCTAACTGCTGGTTCCTGATTAACACATTTTTCTAGACTGTTCTGTTGCTAATAACAGAGATACCTAAGTCTGGGTAATTTTCAAAGAATAGGGGTTTATTCAGCCCACAGTTTGGAGGTTCAAGGTTCAGGGTCATATGTAATGAGGGTTTTCTTGTTGGCAGAGTCCCTAGGAGGCACAAGGCCACCATCCCATCCATACTGCATGGTGAGAGAGCAGAGTGTACAGAGCAGAGCATGGCTCTGTCTCATTCCCTCTCCTTATAAACCCATGGGGACTCACTCAATCATAGGGTCCCCACCCTGATGACTGACCCCTTCCCAAAGGCCCCACCTTCCAACACCATAGTCAAATTAGACACATTAAGTCTCTGCTTTCTCAACACTGTTACAATGGTTCACCAAATGTTAACACAAGAATATTTGGAGGAGGCATTCAAACCATAGCACACATTATATAGTTTGAACAGAAGAGAGAAACCTCATATCATGTAGAAGCTTATAGTCAGGCTACAACGGCTAAACCCTTGTGCTTACAATCTTGTAGCAAACCAGGAAGAGAATGGTACTGCTCAAATAAGAGAAAGAATGTCTTCAATAAGCCAACAGCTAACAGTAAACTTAATGGTAAAATAGTAGGGTATGCCTAGTAAAGCCAGTAACAGGGGGCCAGACAGTGGTGTAATGGTAAAATGCAGTGCTCTGTGAGGCAATTCCACATGGGAAGGTTCCTGGCTCAATTCCAGAGACTTCCCTGAGTATGCTAGGCACATGCTTTACCCATGATCTGAGGCTGGCTGAGACCTGGGAGTGGGTTATGGCATCAAGACCCTGTTGAGGGTACTGTTTCTCTCTCTCTGTCTCTCTCACTCATGGAAGAAATAAACCCAGCAACAAATAAAAAATGTGCACTAAAATGATTAATACAGTTCTTAAATTAGATTACCTAGAGCTGTCTGAAGAGTGAAGCTGGCTTTCTCTTGCCTGCTTGTGGAGCTATGTAAATCCATAGAACCTTTTGGGAAATCAGTTAGGTAATGTGTTTCACAAACCATCCAAATATCCATACCCTCTCCCCCAGACATCTACTTCTCAGAAATTCTCCTAGGAAAATCTGAACCGTTCCTAGAAATATGAATAAATTCTCATCATAACATTTAGAAGAATCAGAAATGACAAAAATTTAAATGTGCCACAATTGGGAAATAGTTAAGACTATTATGGGATATCCCTGCGGTGGAATATAATTAGTCAGTAGAAATATTTAAGGGTTTTGATACTGTGAGAATGCTCTTGTGTTGAATTAGAATGATACAAGTTGTATTTAAACATTCCCTTAATTCTGTTTAAAGATCTCTTTTGTTTGTTGTGGAAGAATTAGAAATCACATTTCTTTTTTTCTGGTTAAGTTTCTAGATGCTTGATGTGGCCTTCAGTGGGTTTCATTTTATTATTTGGAGACACTTCCATAATTATGTCCTTTCCTCTCAAATCTGCACAGTTAATACCCCTCTCAAAAAGAGATATCCTGATTATTCCAAATAAGAGAGTACAAAGAAGTTGAAAACAAGATTTTATTGTGTGTATATATACATATATATACATATATATATACAGACACATACATGAATATATAAATTACTATAGGGTGCAGGGACTCACCAGAGAAAGATGGAGCAGGAGGGAGAGGGGGAGAAAGCACTCCCCGGTGAGGCATGGGCATGCTGCAATCCCTTTTCTTCTATTTCTCCATTCTATCAGGATTTTGGGCCCACGCACGTGTGCGCACATGCGTGCACATGCGTGCACACACACACACACACCTGTGAAAACACATGTTTTTCAAGCTGCCAAGGTCAGAATTCAATCTGCTGTCAGCCATGTCTGCCACAAGGCCAGCCCAAAACAAGATTTTTGAAATGTTCTCTTTTATTGAAAATTTTTACTTTTTTTTCCCCCTTCAAAGTATATTTATCGTATTTCCTCTGAGAGAGAGGAAGGTCACCTCCAACAAGGTCTGCGATCCACCCCCAGCCTCAGCCAGCTCAGATCACAGTTGCGTGTGCATACCCACATGCAAGACCTCAGGGCAGGAACCTGGGTACTTCTCATATGGGTCCAGTATCACAGAGGGTAGTGTTACCACTGTACCACCTCTGCTGGCCCCATTTATTCATTTTTCTTTTCAAGAATTATTTTATTTAACTTTATTTATTTATTTTCCTCCCCATTTTTTCTTTTTGTAGGGCATGTATCAAATGCTTCGAAAGTCAAAATGTGTAATGAGACAGCAAGTGAAAAGAGGCTCTCCAATCCTCGCCCTGCATCTTCCCAGTCCTCTCCTACTGTGTAACCACTCACAGTAGTTCCCAGTGATGTATATGCAGAGATTTTATTTTATTTTATTTTATTTTTAGTGTATGATCACGCAAATTTGAACATATGTCCTTACCCTACTCTGCCCTCCGAGCCACAGTCCCACCATGTTATAGATTCTTCCAGCAACCAAGATTTCCCTCTTTGAGATCCCAGTCCCCAGAGGTGAGCCAGGCCGTGAACAGGCCCCTTTTCTTTTAGGCAGCCCCCTGCCCATTCTCTAGACAGATGAAGTGGAAGTGTGGGTGGGCAGCCTGCCACCCGCCTCCGAGGACTTTCAAAAGACAGATGAAGTGGAAGTGTGGGTGGGCAGCCTGCCACCCGCCTCAGAGGACTTTCAAACTGCTGCGGAAATGACAGCAGCCAACCTGACCAACATAACCAGCATGCATTTTAAAGCTCATTAGACTTAAAGAAATAACGTTGAAGGCAGCTTTGTAGGCAGCGATTCTCAGCTCGAGAGTGGGGTCAGATAGCGGAGTCTTTGCAAGGCTTGTACAGTTTGGATAACATTCATTATTATCGTTTTCTCTACTTTAAACATTTTTTAAAAGAATTATTTATTTATTATTATTATTATTTTATCACACAAATTTTGCCAGAGAGAGAGAGAGAGAGAGAGAGAGAGAGAGAGGGAGAGAGAGAGAGAGAGAGAGGAGCAAGCCACCAGGTCTGGGACTCAAACTGTGGTTAGCCATGTGGGTATTCCAACACTTTAACCACCATGCCACCTGCCGGCCCCCCTTTTCTCTATTTTAAAGTGGAAATGATTCCACATATTCTATGAAGTACAGAAAAGTAAGTGTGGCAATTCTGATTTCTAGACCATGAGTTAAAAATAAGATTTAGAGCTGGACAGCGGTGCAGTTATAAAATGTGACACTGCAAGGCCGACCCATGTGGGAAGGTTCTGGGTTTGTCTCTGTAGACCTCCCTGAGTACACTAGGCACATGTGTGTCCGTGATCCAGGGCTGGCCAAGGCTAGGTGGATCACTATGTCAAAACCCTGATGGAGGTGATGTCGTCCCTGCCTCTGTTTCTCTCTGTCCCTCTAGCTCATGGAAGAAATTTAATAGATATATATCTATAGATATAAGTATTTTTTTTTTAATAAAGAGATTGAAGGATTGTTCAAAGATATGTGATATTGCTTCTAGGGTGGTTACAATGGGATTTTTGGCAGGGAGGACAATGATGGGGCAAAAGAAATCTTATCCCAGGTCTTAAGCACAGATACACATCCAGTACATAGAGGGGGGCAATTAGAAACACAATGTTTAGCACATCGTTTTAGGAGGAGATAATGAAAAAATAGTTGAGAGAGTCTGTTCAAAGGAAAAGGGGCATTTTTGATAGGAGAGGTGTTGTGCTGAAGGTAAAGGGGAAATAAAGACCAAGATTTACGGCATTTCTGTGGTGGGCTGTTTGGGCTGGCCTAGCCGCTGGTGAACTTGAACATTTTGGCCTCTATCTGGGAAGAAGCAGAAGAAAGTTACCATCCTCTGTGCTCTGGCCCTTCCATATTCCCGCCCCCTCAGCTGGATCCAACAAGCAGAACTTGAGGGTCAGCCATTTTCTCAGATTCCCAGAGCCCGTGGCGCAGGGTGTCAGAGTGAGAGGGCCCCATGTTTTCCTGTCACTTTTTATTTCACACATCATGTCCCAGGACTTAGGCAAGTAGACCCGAGGCTAACCCTCAGGAATGAGCAGGACTGGCTCTTAGTTCCGTGTTCCCTCTATTCCCTCCTGGGTCATTCATTTAAAGGGCACAGCAAGTGCTGGGATGTGACTTAAAGCCAAGTGTCTGGTTTGTTTGTTTGTTTGTTTGTTTGTTTGTTTTGAGAGGTTTTTGCTATAGGGTGTGTGCGCTTGCCAGAAAGACAGCACCCCCGAGGGGGGATGGCCACACTGCAATCCCTTCTCCTCCATTCTCCTCTTGGGATCTTGGGCAGGCACACACATGTGCCCGGCGTGAGTTTAAGCCACCAGGTCCGGGACTCAAACTATGGTCGACTACATGGGAGTCCAACAACATAGCCATCACGCCAACTGCTAGTCCCCCAAGTGTCTGTTTTATGAAGTCTGTTTCTCACTAGCTATTGAATGGTGTAAACTAAGAGTTGAAATTGGGAATGACACACTGGCACTAGTATTTGAGGAGGGGGAGCCAGGAACAGGATTATTCTGGTGGGAGAATGGAGGGAGCCAGTTGGTCTGGCACTTCTGGATTCTTTACAAGTCTCTGACACCAGATGGGCGAGGGTGGGGAGGAGAGAGAAGAAGGGAGGGAGAGAGAGCGAGACAGCGCCCCAACAAGGTCTTCACACCATGATCTACCCCTAGCTTTAGCCATCCCGAATCAGAGGCATGGACACGGACGTGTGCACGAGACCTCGGGAGATGAACCCTGAACCCTCCCATGTGGTGTCTGTGTCACTGCTGTGCCACAGACTGGCCTAATTTTTTTTTTTTTCAATCTATAAAGTTAGATGACCCAGACTAAGGTTACTTTGAAATCTGTTAAATTATGAGGGTCAGTACTCAACAAGGTGAGACACGTTTAAGAATTTCTTTATTAGCAATAAAGAAATGAATATAATCGCAAAGAATTAAACCAGAGCTCCTGGGGATTCCATGTAGGCTAAGATCACATGCTCTTCTTTCAGGATTCAGGAAACCGGTTTGTTTTCTTTACTTGGATTTTTCATTAACAAACACTTGGAATTCTTCGAAGCTTATTTCTCCATCTCCATTCTTGTCCAGTTCTTTAAAGAGATCATCCAGACTGCTAGGCTCCTGGTTGTAGACAAAAAGGATGGGAGAGAAAAAATTAATCAAATATTGCTATGCAGGGACCAGCAGGTACAGTGGTGGTTAAGGCACTGGACTCCCACATGGCCAACTGTGGTTCAAGTTCCAGACCTGGTAGCTTGCTTTCTCACTTTCTCTCTCTCTCTCTCTCTCTGGTGAGTTCACATGCCCTACAGCAAATTAAATAATAATAAGTACAATTAAATAATTCTTTAAAAAATATATGTGTATATATTGCTATACATTCTCCCAAACTGGAAGCAGTAGGCCTGCATTCCAGGAAGGCAGCCTGAGTTTCTGGTCATGTACTAGTTATAGCCAGAGGTACAGAAACCAACTTTAGCTGGCTGTCAGCCAGCACTGCACGGAAGCCTTTAGGGAGCCCGTGTAGTCCCCCCACACATCCTGTTGGGGAGATCTTTTACAAGTGAGGGAACAGAGGCACAGAGACAGCCAGTAACTTGTTCTGGGCCTGCCACTGGTTAACAGAGAGCTTGGGATTCAAACATTGACAACAGCTCAACCCCTTAAACAAGCCACCACCCCAGTTTTTACTAAACCCTGGTCTATGTGTACAGTGCACCTTTGGGCTATGCAAGATAATGTTGGATAAGTGGTTCCCACACTTCAGTGTGCATCAGAGTCTCCCAATGGCTTGCTGACATCAGTAAATGTAGCTTATTGGCCCCACTTCCAGAGTTTCTGATTTGGTAGGCCTGAGCCAGGGCCAGAGAATCTATTTCCTACAGGTATCCAAGTGGTGCGCCCAAGTGGAGAACCACTGCTTGAGATGTCTCATGAATTTGTTTTTTTGACTACTGATATTCCTATAGTGTATTTTTTAAATAATTATTTTATTTGACTTTATTTATTTTAATTTGATGGGAGAGAGAAGGAAAGTGAGAAAGCAAGCTGCCAAGTCTGGGACTCAAACCACGGTCAGCCATGTGGGAGTCCAACGCCCTCATCCACCATGCCACCTGCTGGCCCCTCCTGTAGTGTCTTAAGCAGACTTAGTTTTTGTCTCTGTCGTAAAACTCAAATCATACAGCCATTACTGCTTGGACTTTTAGTTAGGAGTTTATCTATGGCAAAGGAGTACTTCGGAAACCTATTGAAATAACAATTTAGCTTAAGTCAGTTTCAGAGTTGACTCGTTCTCTTTATATAGATTTGTGGTTAAAAACTACGTCACGTTAAATTTACCATCTTAACGATTTTAAAAAAGAATGATTTATTTAATTTCATTTATTATTATTATTGTTTTAAAATTTGCTATAGGGCATGTGCACTCACCAGAGAGGGAAAAAGTGATAAAGCAAACAGACAGGTCCAGGACTCGAACCATGGTTGATCATGTGGGAGCCCAGTGCTTTAACCACCATGTCATCTGCTGGCCCACCATTTTTAAAATTATAGTGTTAAATATATTCATATTATCCTGTAATAGATCTCTCCAGAAAGATATATTTATTTATACCCTAAGATTTCCACACACTTAGCTATAATCACAAGACCAAACTGTAAGTTAGTTATTCAACATCTGTTTTATAAATACAGAACAGTTTTCTTGAAGCATTTGCTAGACTCTAAACCACACAAGGTGATGAGGTAAACTGGAAAACGTTGGCTGTCTCTGAGCCTCGGTTTCCTCACCTGTAAAAGATCTCCCCCACAGGGTGAATGGGAGCATTACATAGGCTAATCCTCATGAAAATATAATCAGATACATGTAAGTCTGCTTTTGTAAGTGCACATTCAAAACTTTCTATTAGTCTTCCTACCTTTCCCCAAATTATGAAAGTCTTAGGTGCTTTTTAAAAACTATTTGAGTAGATTGTAATCTAACAGAGAAACCTAGGCAATTTTTTTTTCTTTTTGGAAATATATAAAGGTTTTAAAAATGTTAATATTTCTCAAAAACTCTCATTTTCATTTTTAGGTTAAAAATATTTTTTTCTGCTAATGCCTTTAAAAGTTATTTTATATTTCAACTATAAGAAAACGAAGAGTTATCGGATAGATGGTCATTGAATTCAGCTTTTTTCTTTCTAGTAAAGAACAGAAATTTTTCCAATTGCCATACTGGTAGAAGAGATATTCCTGGTTAAAATTTGGAAAGCAGGGATATTTGAAACAAATGCTTTCTTGTGAAGTTGAGTCGAACAGTTCATTTAATGCCTGCATAGTTGCTTCCATTTGGAAGATCCTTTTTAGTTGCAAAATGACAAAGACTTGACCAAAACCTTATTCAGGCTCTAAGCCTTTCACTTGAGTAGAGCTGACCTTGGGCTTCCATCTCTGCCCTTGCAGAATCCAGTTTGAACAAGAATCCTGCTAAATCAGTTTGGTGATTTCCTCCCGCCCCCCCATGTCTGACCACCCTTGACCCCCCCATGTCTGACCACCCTTGATATTTTATCACTGTGTTCAGCAATAATCCAATCAAAATAATTTTAGCAAAACCTCTTATCTTTTGTTTCCTTAGTAAATTTCCATGCATCGACCCCCACCCTGCTTCTTGGTTGTAAGCCCCCACCTGTCCTTTTTTAGAGCCATCACTGCATGAGGAAGACCCCATGGCGTGGCCCTTATACCTGTTGCCTAGGCCCTCTTACCCTCTTTAACAAGCGTCCTGAATAACTTTTCTCTTTAACAAAAGAAAAGAATGTGTGTGTGTGTGTGTGTGTGTGTGTGTGTGTGTGTGTGTGTGTATGTGAAGCTGGGTGGAGAG